TGCCTTAAAAATTGTTGCAATACGAAATGAATAGTGAAGCAATGGGAGTGTGGAGGCGGGGGGGTGGGGCAGCAAGTGAAGTTGAAGTTGTCCTTTGAGCTGGTAATGCACGAAAGACAAACAGAAAAACACATGGCCAAGAGCGCTGGGGGCGTGTGTGTGTGGGCATGGTCTGAATCAACAACAATAAACAAATAATGCATACAATGGCGGCCTACTAAATAACAACAGCAACAACAACAACAACAACTGGAGCTGAAGATAAAGCAGAAGTAAAAGAAGCCCTTGCAACCCCCCAAACAAAAACAAAAACGAAAGAAGAAAAAAAGAAAATCGAGTGACACGAAAAAAAAAGAAGTAAATTCTCCCCCTCTCAATGACTCAATGGTTAACAAGGCACACATCAGCGTATAGCAAGGGGAGGGCGGTGGGCAGGGTGTGGGGCATTCTGGTTTAGAGGTGTGCGCTAAAGATAACGAATCTCTGCTGACGAAAAAAAAAAAAAAAATACGAAAAATACGAAAAAAAGTTGCGATTGATGTGCCGAATTCTGGCAGCCAGGCATGGATCAAAGCCAGCGGCTTAGCAGCTAAACAGAGCTGAAATTTGTGCCAGCTGGTGTGAGAGAGACTGCTAGATACCCTGTAATTGGGCAGTGGAAGAAGGTGGATTGATGAGTGATACATAGATGATATATGTAATACTGGTGAACTGTAGTCAGAGTTAGTTGATATAAACATAATACCCTGTAATTGGGTGGATTGTTGTATTTGCACAGGCGTCGGTATACCCTATACGCATAAAGATACCCATTTTCTTCCTCTATATACAAATACATATATGCTACACATATACACAAATACACACACATTCATTGCTTAGTTAGCACCTTCTTAATGCAAAAAGGACAAATTGTTTATTCTGTTATACTCTGTATATGTAGCTTAAATGGGGTATATACCATTATGCACAATTTTCTATATGAATTATATTCAGTCCTTTGAATTCCTGATAGAATATAGAATAGAATATGAAAACATATTGGAATTCGATATTCTGTTATACCCTGTATTACACTAGTAGTATGTTGGGCATTGCAAGGGTATATATATGCATATATAGAGTGCATATGGTTTCCATATTTAATATTTTAATATACAGAAAATACGCTAGAGCTTATGCATTTGATAATATACCCTGTAAACACAGTGAAGGGAATTGTAGCTAGCTCATGTTACATGTAACCTATTAAGGGTGAGTATATACTCACATATGCATAGGTATGTACATATATGTCTCTCTATCTCTCTCTCTCTCTCTGTTTCACTCTCTCTCTCTCTCTCTCTCTCTCTCTCTCTCTCTCTCTCTCTCTCTGTTGCTTTCCTACTCCCTCTATCTTTATATGTATAAGCTATATAGTATCATTCACTCGTATACGTATATAATCTGTCTGTCCGTCTGTCCCACTGTCTGCCGATCTGTCGTGTGCCGAGTGACGTCTCCAGCGCTGGCTGCCCTGCTGATTGCGGCCGAGTCCCGCTGGAGCAATAGAGACTGCATTTCCTGCCACTTCCGGGTTTGGGAATCACAAATAATTCCACTGCAGCTGGCGCAAAGAGATGAACGGCTTGTTAAAGAGCGCTGGCTGTGTGGGCTGCTTAGGGGCGGCTGCCGGCACGGGGCGTGGCTGGCATGGCGTGGGGCGAGGGGGAATAAATGATGTGCAAAATATACAATTTGAAATGGAATATGCGTGCTTTGCTTCGGCTTCTGCTTTGACTTGTTCCTTATCTTCTTCCCCTTCTTTTTCCTCTTCTTCTTCATCTGCTTCTGGTTTATTTCCAGCTATCAGAGCATCTGGTTTGTGCTTGGTTCAAGGACACAAGGCACAAGGAGCAGGCGCTGGCTGTTTGTCATTTTTTTATTGTTGTTGTTGTTGTTGATGCTGCTGTCATTTCTATTTTCTTTCGTTTGTTCTATTTTCTGCTTTCTGTTTTTGTTTTCCTTGTTGTTTTTCGCTTCGCTATGTTTTCGCATAAAGAGATTAGCACTCAATTTTAAATTGAAGCTTATTAGGCGGCACGCCCACTGCCTCTGATAGTCGCTTTCTCTCTCAACCCCTCCCTCCGTTGTTGATTGAATTGCGTACTTGGCCCAAATTCAACGTTTCTAAGGATTTAATCTGGCTTTTATTGTGCGTTTGGCTGCCCTTTCTGCCTGCCACGCCCACATTGTTTAAGCTACCAGCTTCCTCGACCTCTCACCCTTTCGCCCCCACCCCCTGGCTCCAGCGGAGCAACAGTTAGCTGCTATTTCACATCCAAATTCATGTCTATTCCGGGCAAATTGCACGCGAAGCTTTCCCGCGGGGTTTGTTGCGTGTAGCGAGCGAAGAGTAACAAGTGTTTGCTACCCCTCTCCCTCCCTCTCCCACTGTCTCTCTCTCTCCATCTATCTACATATTTCCTTACTCACACACACACACAGTCATATTCGCGCGAAGTAATTCTCTTGCAAATGAAATGAAAATTACTTACACTTGCCAAGGGAATTTCATGGGAGCGAGCATAAGAAGGGTAAGGGATAGAGGGAGACAGCCAGAGAGCGTGGAATATGACAATGATATGCACATAAACAAGAAAACAGCAATTATCATTGGTATGTGGAACAGAAAATAGTCTAGTAGACATGGGAGATAGGCATAGGCAAGTCTTATATTATTTAAAATATGCTCTAGTTAATTTTATTGATCTTATAAATATTTTAATATTTTTATTTTTTATTTATATATTACATTTAATTTAATTTTAATTTTTTTTTATTTTTATATTTAAATTATTATTTTCCTTGCAGTTGGTGCCAATGCCTAAGCAAATCATATCGAACATGTTGCAACTGCTACAACTGTAAAGTCTTCTACAACGCGCGCATGCCTTGTATAACAGTTTTGCTATGCACACAAAAAACATCGAATTATTATAAGTTTACATTCAACAGCCTCATATGCGTATAAGACGACTGATATTAGCAGATGTTCGAAGCTGGCTGTGCCTGTACAGTGTACACACAACAGACTCACACGAGTATAGTAGCTACTTAAGCAAGCGTAAACCCAAACCACCCCAACTGCATATACTTATAAACGAAACTTATATTTTTTATGCATACAACAGCATACGCCAGCAGTCTCATAATCTGTGTAAGCAGCCGGCTTACTTTATCGTATACTCCAACCACCACTTATATTGTATGCGCTCGGGAACAGAGCAAAGGCAAAGCGACAGTGGTGTATACGAGTTACAGCATACGCAGAGAGACACAGTCCGTATAAGGTAAGCAGCATTGTATGAGACAGACAGCATACGTACATAGGCACACTCAATATAAGCTAAGCATCACTGTATAAGACTGCCAGCATACGCATACGAGCCACGTATAATTCGACACAATTCGAAGCTCGAATGTCTGACACTCCTCTGGCTCGCGTTCGTATAAGAACACAGCCTGAAGTGTATAAGTATAGACTAATAAGAGAGAGAGCGAGCGTAAACCGGCTGCAAGCATACAAACAACAAGCCAGTCACCTGCAATGCCAGAGCGTGGAACCAAACAACACACAATGAGACCAATTGTTTTTGTTATCACATGTGCGCTCTCCTGCTTTTACGCTCTCTCTCTCCCTCTCTCGGGCTGTACAAATGAACGAAGACGAAGGCGGCGTCGTCGCTCGTGTGTGTTTGCCTTCGTCGGCTGCAGCTTTGCCTGATGATAGCGATGACGATGGCGGCTGCTGCTGCTGCTGGTGTTTCTGCTGGTGCTGGTGCTGCTGGCTTCGTCAGTTAGAAGTTTTAGTTCGGTTTTAGCTCTCATTCTGTGTGGACGCCTCGAATACAGTAAACGCGGCCCGTCGTCATCAAGTGCGTCGCACGCACACACACATACTCTGACGCAGTCGGGCACTGGCAACTCACACACACACACTCAATCGCTCGCTCGCCCAAAACATACGCACACACATACATGTACACATGGTGGTCCATTCGGCAGCAGCAGCCGCCGCGGTAACAGCGCCAAAATTATCGAGTCTGCGCCAAAAGTGAATTCAATTGTTAATCTTAAAGCTGAAGCTGGGATATATTAAGCGAATGTACCCAAACACCAAGTGCAAGAAGTGACCAAATATTTGTAGGGCACACGTTTCTGCTCCTCCTTAGCGCCGCGACGCCTCCTCTCGGCTTGATTCGTTTGTCCTCGTCAACAATTTCGCTGTTGTGTTTTGTCGCGCGGCTTTCGTTGGTTGCGTGTCGCGTGTATTGCCGTCTCTCTCCTCGCACTCCGCACTCCTCGGTATCAAGTACCCAGCATCTCTCTGCTCTCTCCTCGCTCCGCGCTCTTCTTACGCCCTCTGTCACCGTCACGTAACGGTAGGTCCCGTTGCCCGCAAACATGGCCGCACTCGATCGCGGCTTAGCCTAAGCTGTTGTTGTTGCCCAGCAATAAATTGTATAGGGTATTTCATTGATCGAATTGCCATTATAACCATAACAACAACAACAACAACATCTGTAGCTGGAGCAACTAACAACAAATGCGGCGCTGCAGCAGCAGCGGCAACTGCAACTGCAACTGCAACTGCTGCTTGTTATAGCATTCAGCTTCTGTAGCGTTACGAATAGAGCGAGCAGCAATTGCCCAACAGCAACAACAATAACAACATTAGCAGCAACAACTGTAATAACTACAGCTAAGATCAAGAGGAAGCAGCAAAATGGCATTGAGCGCACATGAAGAAGAAGCAGCAGCAGTAGCAAAAGCAACTCAAATGCAACAACAGCAACAACAGACAAGAAAACGCAGACGAAGCAAATGCAGCAGCAGCAGCAGCAACAAGAACAGCAACAATTGCTGTTGCCGGCAACAACGGAAGCAGTATCAACAACAACAGCAACAACAACAACAGAATTCACATTGGATTAAACAACTTCAACTGCTTTGCATTGGTAAGTCTCTTAGTTTGACATATCACAGAGTAGGCAGAGTAGCCGTGGCAGCCTCTTCTGCAGCTGTTGCAGCTACTGTCCCTGCCCTTTCTACTGCACTATTTAATACCCTACCCAAAACCCAATACCCTGACCCTAAGCCCAATATGCAGCTCATTAGGCCAAAGCACAAGTCATTTCGTTTGACTTTTGCGGCTGCCAAACGAATTGCAGCAGGAGATCTCATTGAGATGCACTTGCAGAAATTTATGACTGAGTTTTCAATGGGAATCGAAATTTTTGTTAATTTCTGAATATGCAAATATACATACATAGGCTCAAATGGGAGGCAAAGTGAAAAGACATTTAAAACCCTAGATGAATTTCAAATGAAGTGCATATGATAATAAATATTTTATAAATTATAGATAAATATGGAAATAATTCTACAAAATATCAGATGATAAATAAATATATTTTTATGAATATATTTTAATTATTTGATATTTTTTATAAATTTTATGAAAATAAATAGAAATAAATATACATGCATTAATATAACTAAATAACAATTACTTATATATATAAAAAAAAAGAAAAAAATTAAAATATCAAAATAAATGTATGCATAAATTTAAACATGAAAAAATAAAAATAAAATGAAGTAAAATAAAAATAGTACACACAAAAGTATATTAAAATTAAAAATTAAAAATATATAAAATAATATATATAAATATGTGTATTTCAATATAAGTATTGTAAGGCATTTAAAAAACATGGAAATTGGGCTAGCATAAATATAAATTAATTATATAAATAATTAAATCTATAAATGACAATTATAAATATTATAAAATATAAATTCAAATATATAAAAAATTTAAGTAATATAAATAAATAAAATCAAAACAATTCATAAACAAAATTAGCTGAAAAATCAACATTTTAGACGAACATCTCAAATCTGTTTGCAGTTTCGATAAATTTATAGATTTCCTCAAAAGTTTCAATTTCTTTAAGAAACGGTCTACCTCTTCATTTTTTTCTTCATGTGTATCTCTGTGAGACAGTGTCCCTCTGCCCGTTTGTATGTTTTGGACTTTGCGGTTGGCCTAACTTCCTTTTAATATGCGTTGCGGTCAGTGCCAAAAGCCCTGATGATGGTGTTGAAGGTGTCCTCGCATGTCTGCCGCAGGTTTATGAACAGAGGTGGGAGCAGCTGCCGTTCCCAGCATCTAGGGACACTGCAGAAGAAGCGTTGCCTTAAACCGCAAAAACTCTTTTCGCTCATGTTGCTCCGTAATTTGTTTAACCCAAAAAATGCAGAAGACGAAGCAGAGGAAGAAGGGGAATAAGGGAACGTATATGCTCGTATATCTTTAAAGAAGCCTAATCGAAGCGTTGCCTAATTAATAATTAATAATGCAAGCCGGATGACGCAAACATTTCACATCCGGCTATGGGAGGGGGATGGGGCAAATTGGGCGTGCATAAGGCAGGGGCGTGGCCATGGCCAAGTGCAAGTGCACTTCAAGCTGGCGCTTATCGCACTTCCGCCCATCGAATTCCCAAATGAAATTCAGCAACTCATCGTCTCTGCGTCGGAACTTGGCCTCCTCTACTTATGGGCTCCCATTTTTGAGTAGCCCCAAAAAACGAAAAACCAAAATAAAGCAAAAACAATAACAATCGAAAATATTATACAGAGAATATGTTCAAACGCCCACAGTTCTTGGCTTAACTAGCTTTTTTTTTTCTTTTTTTTTGTGGGCGTTTGTGCGGGGTTTTCTCTTTCAGTTTAAGTTGTTGTTGTTGTTGCTTGTTTGTTTGTTGTTATTGTTTCTTGTTGACGAAATCACATAGGCAATCAGCAGAGCCGGCGGCAACGCTTTACAGGTTGCCAACACAATGGAATAATTTAATGTTATCTTCGGACAAAAATCAACTGCAAACTAAAAGAGCTGACATTTCTGCCATGTGGTAAATAATGTATGAATACAGAAGTTTTCATAAAAGTTTTCTCTTATCAAGGCAGATCTAAGAACTGTTTACACAATTAAAGCAGCTGTTAGCTTAACACCTGTTAAGCATATGTAATGCTTTCATAAGCCATAAATCTTAAAACTCATATAGGTAAATGTTTTATGAAGATGGAAATTTGCATAAACTCAGCTTTTACTTTGTCTCAAATATTACAGAGTAATGCGAATAACATCTTAACAGCTCGTAATTAACAGCTGTTAAGCAGCTGTAGTATTACAACTGAATTGAATCGGCTATATACTCGATAGAATGTCTTTAATTCGTTAAGTTGAGCTGGAATTTTGATCTTAAATTACTTCTATCCAAAATTATCGAACATGTATTACGAATTCATCCCATTGTATATATTATTCATGATGTTACCATATGTGTGTGACTGCTGGAATCAATGCCTCCCCTCCTCTCTCTCTCTCTCTCTCTCACTCTTATTATCGTGGGGCAGCAGTTGCGTGACAGGGTAACGCCTACAAATATAAAAGATGCGTCGATAAAGCTCATATACGTATTTATACAGATATATACATAAATAAAGACATATACATACATATGTGTATATGAATATATCTACACACATGTGAAAAGTCAAGCATGATTCAAGCTAATTCCTGCTGTTTCGGCCCAATTAGCCAAATAAAGTAAAATAAGGAAAAAAAAAGAAAAGAGGAGAAGAAAGGCCGCGCACCTGGCAACAGTGGCCAGAGGCCATAGCCGAATGCCACCCAAGGGGGTGGGGTGGGGTAGCGACCGCAAAAACAAAAACATAGCGGGAAAAACTGTTGGCAGGAGTTGACAGCCCGGAGCAGTAGTAGATGAAGATGAAGATGAAGTCGAATGTGGAGTCAAAGCATGGAAAACCAAAATAAAAGCATTTATTTGTCAGCACAAAATAATCAAGGATCATAATATGTCAACAAAGAGGCAGGACATGCGGGCCAACGGAAAACAAGCGCAAGGACACACACACACACAAATACACAGTAAAGAAGAAGCAGAAACAGAAGCAAATATGTGAGAGTCCTTTTTTCGTGGCTGAAGCATTGAAATGTGTGCCACAAGAGTCAAAACGGCGAAAGTGTATAGCAAACATATCGTAATAGATAGCTGAAGAGCGACAAGTGGAAGAGAGAGAGAGAGAGAGCGATAGAGGAAGATAAAGACGAGCGGACAGCAGCCTCAGCTGTGGGCGTGCCAGCAGCAGGTGGAGCAGCCAGCCAAGAGCTGCGTTTGTCTCTGACAGCTTGGTTAATGTACTGAAGTGCATTGACAATAGATGCCACTGCTTGACCAAAGCTTTAGCGAAAGAATGAGGATTGAGAGACAGCGAGAGACAGAGAGAGAGAGAGAGAAAGAGAATTGCAGGTAGCGCGAGCGAGATGCATGTAGGAAACAATTCTGCGTTTTCCATTCATTCCACAGGTCAAAGGGGAAGTGCTAAGCACACACACACACACACACAGCCAGAGAGCAATTGTAAGAGAGTGGAGCAGGAATATAAAAGGATGCAGGGAGAAGGAACAGTAGTTGAAAAGTCCTTGCAAAGCGCATATCTTCAGCAGATAATCTCAGCTACAGTAAAGAGTCTGCGTGCAGAACTCGAATAGGAATGCCCATCCCAAAGATTTGTTTTAAAGAGTTGGAGTATTTGATATTTGCTTCAGATTTAAATGCTGTTGATCTTAGCTTGAGCAGTTAGAGTCTGACATGTTTAGTATTTATTTAAAGTTTAAGCTGAGTAGAACTTGAGTATAGTTAGCATTTGCTGCAAGAGTTCATAAAACTTTCTAATGACTGACAGCAATAAAACAGGAAACAAATAATTTATATATGCTTAAAATCTAAACAAAGTCGATCTGAAGTTGGGAAATTTATACATAAATCTGATATTTTGAGTTTATAACTTGGGTTAACGTTGCTTTTGTTTAAGCTGCAAGAGCCCTATAACTTCTCCTAAGTTTTTAGGAACTTCATAGTCTCTAATCTATACTATATAGACTATTTATAAGAATATAAGAAATTACAGAGATCAGTTAAATATGAAGAAATGATTTAATACTTGAGAATTTTCTAACTTAACTTAAGTTAGTACAAACTTCAGCTAATAATGTCAAAGATCAATCAAATAAAAGGAATTTCTGAAATTAAGAATAAGCTTATAACCCACCTAATAAGAATCTGAAGTCGGCAGAGTTGAATATGTGAGATAGACTATAGGTATAATAATATAATATATTATATATAACTGACATATAAAGCGAAAAAATCTTCTCAGTATATTATTTTAATCTAGTACTATATAATACCTATACCGAAACCTTTTATAATTTTCTAAAAATATTTTGTAATGCCAAGATATTGTTGACATTATGCAACCTAGAAAAACTGACATGATTAGGCTGGGTCTGACTCAGCAGTGTATAGAACAGTCTGACTCAGACTCAGACTCAGACTCAGACGATTTTCGTACTGCATTGTTCATTATATGGAGCTAACACTGTCTGGCTGTCTGGCTGTCTGTCTGTCTGTTTATCTAGAGCCAGAATCGCGTTAGCCATTGAGCAGTTGGCTTCTCATGGTCTGCATTTGACTTTGTTTGTTCTCCTGCTGCAAAGTTAATTGCGCTCCACTCTCCAGCTGTCAATTGCCAAGTTGGAGAAGGCGAAGCTCGTTTAGCTGCTGCTGCTGCTCTGCTGCTGTCGGTCGATCCGTGTGGGCAGTTGCCATATATACTATAGACTATATATTCATTTATGTATATATGTATTTCTGGCATATTATATTTTTGGACTACTGCAGCTTAAGGCCAACCAGTTTGTCAGCTCTGATTGTCTGAGCCATGGCTAAACGCCCACGCGCGCTTCTCTCGCACAGGTGACACCAAAGCTGAGCTCAGCCAGAGCTCAGCACAGTGTGTGTGTGTTGGCGTCTCTTCGTGTTTACGTAATGCAGCTGAAAGCTATCAACCGAAAACTGAAAGC